GTAGGTAGTACCTACTCTGTACACAGTTAACGTCCGAATAGTTACCCCGCAAGCTGCGGGGTTGGAACTAAGTAGATATTGGCCCAACCGAACCTCAAACATTTCATCACTTATAGTGCTCGTAAAAGGAATCGCGTCCGCTATATAGGTACTGAACGGGGCCGAGGTCAGTTGCGAATAGCTTGTGGACATTCATCAATGGGGTGGATTCGGCGTCAAATCATTACCACACCATCGGCATATCTGTACTCCTTTTCTTCGTTTCGTCCCCTCTATTCTTACAATACTATTGTCTTCGCATCGCCGATTACATCACATTCAGTTACGCATATACGCACATACACACGGAAAAGAGGCACCACCAAGATGCTGCAAGGGTGCACGTTTAAGAACGCGCTCGAGAAGGGGGAACGGGCTAGTATGGGTGCCTGGCAAACGCTGCCAGGCCAGAATGTATCGAGAATCCTCGCACGCACACCCGGCGTCGACTGGGTACTCGTAGACTGCGAGCATGGAAATATTGATGATGCTGCCATGCATGAGGCGGTCCCGGCCATTGCCAGCTGTGGCGTTAGTCCGATAGTCCGGCTTCCTGATATGCAAGGTTGGATGATCAAACGTCAGTACTTTTGTCACGCTTCGAGTCGCCTGATTAGCCTCCTCTGATCATCCAAGGACCGCTACTAACGAGTTTACAGGGGCGCTTGACTCGGGGGCACATGGGGTGAGTCTGGGCTGAAAGAACTCCGGATGCGAGGAGGCGGAATGTTCATGAATTTTGACTTGGACATCTTAGATCCTAATACCGCTCCTCCGCTCTGCCGAAGAGGCGGCCAAGATCGTTGCTGCAGCCAAATTCCCACCGCAAGGACAGCGCGGTCTCGGCTCGCCATTCGCGATGGAGCGATTTCATCCAATCCCGACCATGACGGAATACCTGCAGCACGCGAACGAGTCGCTGCTGACCATAGTGCAAATCGAAACGCAAGAGGCGCTAGATGCCGTGGAGGAGATCGCGGCGGTACCGGGCATTGATGTCTTGTTTATCGGCCCCTTCGACTTGGGGAACAACATCGGACATCCGATCCTCGATGGCGTCATGAAGCCCGAGCTCGAGCAGGCCATTGATCGAGTACTCGCAGCTACGATCAAGGCCGGCAAGAAGGCCGGTTTCTTTGCGAGCAGTGGGGAGCAGGCTAAGAAGTATGCCGACAAAGGCTTCCATATGGTCAACGCGGCCCTCGATACCACATTACTGCAGGCCAGCCTGGAGCGTTCCCTCGCTGTGGCTCACGGACAGGCGGCGCCGCAAGCCGTGGGGCGGTATTAGTAGGCATATTACATTCCAATCTTAATCTGAAAGTGATTGTCATTACAGTGCAATGTCTCGTGATGTCTATCTGTGCGAAATGTGGAGGTTTTGATCTATGATGCTTTCTCGACCTCGTCCATCTTGGCCTTGACCTGGTCAGCAGTGAAACGATGCATGAGCCGTACTGCCTTAGAGACAGCTTGCGGCTGTTCTTCGGGGGCGGACGATTTGCTGATGTGAATCTGTCAGATCTGCTGTTAGCCAGCAGAATTTAACGTGAAATTTAAATTTGTATAATCTCAAGCCGCCCCAGACCTTTCGCCCCGCCCACCCTTTCTAGAGAACATACCACAGGGACATCGAAGTCATAGAGGTCGCGCCATTGACGCCCCGTTTCTGACTTGGAGACATCAACTTCATTGTATTGAAACGGCCGGGCATCCCAGACGTCGGACAAGACGGAACGGGCGTTGGAGCATAAGCCGCAATTTTCACGTGTGAAGAGCGTAATCCTGCAAGCTTGGAAGAGTCGTATGGTAGGCCGCATGGTATGGAATGATGTTTTACGATGCGGATGTTTAAATTTGTGACAGAAGCCAGATTGGAATTGAAATCCAGTGTTATCACAATATAGCCGTATAAAAGAAGGATGCAGTCCACGATGCCTACCAACTGGGCTTAGTTGAAAGCAGCTAAAAAGATAGACACACTCAGCAGTCACTTAGCTAGTAGGGCAAAACTACCTATAAGTAGATACATAAAAAATACACTACCTAAAAAGGTAGGTGAGATCAGCCCTGGAGTGCACCGCGCAAGGTTTATCTAGACCCCTCTGCTAGGCCCCCTAAGTCCCCTACTTATTAAGTAGATCTAGATCGAAATAACAGCAGCGCAGTTGCGTCATAGCCGGCAAATAAATGCACGGCAAATGGTACAGCATCATATATCAGAAGGGAAAGCTGCCAAAAACGGTAAGCGGTGGAAATATTGTGGTTAGTATGTATCTGACCATGACACGACCCTCTCAATGGAAGGTTTCCATGAAGTTCTCAAGCCCAATGGTGCTCACTGTCTTACGGGCCAGGTAGCTGGATTTATTTATCCTACCCAATTTCCCCACCCGCCGTACAGCAATTGTTTGTTTACCTACGAGTACCTAGATAGTTTATCTACTGCACTTTCTAAAAGTCTATATCATACCCCGCGCATCGCAAACAACTATCGGCAGGTACTAAACTATCGGCAAACATGGGGGCCTGTGTTCATCAAGGATGTGGAAAAGAGGCCATCCCGGATGAGGTCTGCAGATACCATCCGGGTCCTCCCGTCTTTCACGAGGGGCAGAAAGGTAACTAAACGATATTCTTCATTATCACTAACTGCTGTGTCATCGTAACTAATACGCATGCGGTAGGTTGGAAGTGTTGCAAGCCCCGATTCCTGACCTTCGACGAGTTCCTCGCCATCCCGCCGTGCACCGAGGGGAAGCACAGCACCACCGACTTCCCGCCCAAGATCGAGAAGAAGGAACAACAAGCCGATGTCGCCCCGACCACACAGTCCCTCTCCGACAAGCTCGCCGAGGTCGTCTCGTCCGCGCCCAGCCGAGCTGCTGTAGCGCCTCAGCCCGGAGCCACGGCGCCGCCGCCGCCTCCCGAGTCCGAAGACGACGAGCCCGGGCTCGAGATCCCCGACGGCAAGACGTGCAGGCGGAAAGGATGTAGCGTGACATACAAGAAGGGCCACCAGCGGTCCGACGACGAGAATTGCGTCCACCACCCAGGCGCTCCCATTTTCCACGAGGGCAGCAAGGGCTACAGCTGCTGCAAGCGCCGCGTGCTGGAGTTCGACCAGTTCATGAAGATCGAGGGCTGTAAGACGTCGACGCGACACCTGTTCATCGGGTCGGGCCAGGATAAATCCAAGAAGCGCCAGCAAGGAGATCCCGGCACAGGCCAGGACGGCGAGGAACTGCTGGATACGGTGCGACACGATTTCTACCAAACGCCCAACACCGTCATCGCATCCTTCTTCCTGAAGAAGATCGACAGCGCGCGAGCGACCGTTGTGTTCGAGCCCAACGCCCTCGATCTCGATCTGCCTACGAACGAACCGGCCCCGAAGCGCTACAAGACCTCTGTCCCGCTGTTCGGTCCGATCGATATAGAAAAGTCCACTTTCAAGATCCTCGGCACGAAGCTCGAGGTCAGCCTGTATAAGGCGGATGGCGCAAGCTGGCCAGTTCTTCGGAGCGACGATCATCGTACGGGAGAAATACTACAAATCGGCCGAGCTGGCCGTGTGTAGGAAATAACCACAATACTAAAAAGAAAATGGCAAAAGGCAAAAGGAAGAAAAAAAAACAATGCAAAAATTCCTCACAGATAAGACCGTGTTGCATGCCTTTGAATGTACTATCCAGTAACGAGTGGTTATAAGTACCAGCTCGAACGGGCTGCATAAATCATGAATGTGCTGATGAATGATCTTGCTTAGGGTAGAATACCATTCACCTGGAGTGGTGATTTACCTTCCCAAGGCTGCTCCTATGTTGAGCTTAAAGTATAACCAAGATTTGAGTGACACCTCGTCAATCGATTGCTCCTGCAATTATGCCGAGGTCTTTTCTACCACCCCTCCACACCCACCAATCTTAACAGAAGCGCAACCGACCTCAATACCGGGGACAAATCTACCCTCCACTTCGCCTTGCAATTGTCATATTAATAATTGCCTCAGTGGAATGCTTAGACATTTAGATTACGACGTCGGTGCTGACATTGTGCTTTGATACCTCATTTATTGAATGTTGCGACAAGTCAATGTCATATGCTTTCTGGAGTCTGCATATCGGTGCTACTTATCTATGACAGAGTTCCGTGTGATTCAGGATATTCCATCTTCTAACCCTGATATATGGCTTCTAAGTATATCTTGATAGAATACGGAGTGCATCCATCGGTGCCGACAAGGAGTTCTACATATCTACATATTGATGCACTGACAACAGCTCTATTACATATATATCAGAGAATGTATGCAGCATCAGTTACCGAACAAGACATTTTTACGTGAATACTTCTCATCTATCATTATATTATCCTTCTACCACACTGTTAGCCCTTGTTAATATAACAGCCGCGCTTCGTCTCTGAAGAAAAAGTGAATTAATGAATGATGACTTCGCCTACTATAACGTATCCCGATGCCGCCGCTACGACCTGTTCGTGATGTCGTATTTGGAGTCATCTTCTTCCCGTTTCGGTCACTTTCTGAAGTAGTGAGGCTCCGCTTTGGGCGAAATCATGTTTCAAGACCTCTGGCCCGGGCCATTTTCAAGATGGTAGCAACTGACCTTAACTTGCAGTGGTTTTGACAGGCTTGGACACCCCCTTTTCAAGATACTCCGCCAGTTCTACGCAACGGCCAAAGCAAAATTGAAAACGGCCTCTGCGGACTCATCATGGCGGTGCCGTGGGACTATAATAAGTGATGAGACCCAAATTGACGATATTATTATATGGCTGTCACACGGCTCCTAAAAGGGACAAAGTTGGCATTCTGTATATCCGTATCTCCGCTAGTTGGGGAATTCAAGCTCTTTGCATAACAACGAAAGCCTTATACAGTTATTTGCAACAGAGCAGTAGCGGAATGAGAGGTAAAAAAAATATTGAAAAAAGACATTTGTACTCTACGAGGTTCGAACTCGCGCGGGTTGCCCCACCGCAGATTTATAGTGCGGAATCATGCTCGGAAACATGTCCGCACTGTACTTAAATGCGGCGCCATAACCACTCGGCCAAGAGTACACAAGATGATGCTTCTGACTTGTGATGTGAAGTTAAGGCCAAACAGGCTAATAATAAATGGGTTTGTACTGTTAAGTGCTATTGAATGATCAAGTCCCCACCTTAACTCCCACATTCGAGCGGGTCTATAAGTTAGCAGAATGATTAGACGTAGGTCTCCCTTCATTTTCTTGTTGAGAAAGAGGCTTTTTTAGCTGGGATATAATAGGCAAGACCTACAGTGAAATAGCTCTCGAGGAGAAGCGTGAGTACATTGCTCGGTAGCCCTATCTACGTAGGAGCCGCATATAGCAATGACACTTGCAGAGCTGGCGTTGGGTATTTAATCATTAATGTGCCTGGTGTGTTCCGAGGCTGAACGTAAAGTTTAGGTTGTCGGATGAGAAAAACGATATAGATTATGGGTCAAGACAGTCCTCTCGTAGAATCCTGGGTACTTGAATGCCGATGCTCAGATCCGTGATGAGTCATCCGAGTCATGTCACTCATAGCTACCGTTGTGCTTTCCATGTCCACCACAAATCCAATTGAAGCACTCAAACTCCATGGCAAGGGGGCAAGTACGAGGCTTGGAGATGGTCTCAACCGACGATAGTCTATCAGAAGGCACTAACTAACTCCATGACCGTCCGGAAGGCTTCCGGGCCTTTTCTTGGATTACTTGAGGCTATACATACGCAATGTTCTTATTCTGAGCCGCCAATTTCCGTCGATATATGTTATATAAGTGAGGGTTAAAGAGCCTCAATGCGAGGAGTTACTGTCAATAACGCTGAAGTACGCGCTTAGTGCGTGCTACACGTATACGTATCACTGAGAATTGCGTTCAACGCGTGCCACATGTGTATAAGATGCCTGACACTATGTACAACATCTTGTCTGAGTGCAGAGGAGATCTAAGAGGAATGCGATTAGCCGCTTTGATTCCTGCACGGGAGGATAACTATCGAGCGATTTGGAGATTTTTTGATCACGGTCGTTTGATCACGGTACCAACGTCGACCCCTCAACCATCTTAAAGTCCGCCATACCTCGTTCACCTCACAAGACAGAGAGACCTTTCACGCAACCCTTACCCCACGAATCCCGAACAATATCATTAATTCGAAGATGCTTTCTTGCATGACTTTCCACTAGGATGATCCTCGGAAAATTGACGAACTCGGAAATATACGATATGTACGAAGGTGTAAATGTCATTAATCCTAACATTCTTATGTAGACTCCATTAAGTCGGAATAAAGTTCATTAAATAGCAGTTGTTACTATTAATAGAAGGAGACGATTATCACGAGATGTCGCGACGAAATGGATTATACGGATAAATTATGCCTAACCCGAAAGGGTATTCCTACAGGACAGAATCTCACACATATGTAGATTAACCCTTTCAAACATACCGCATTAGGTGTTGTTCTCTATATCCACAGATCTCGGTTCTGCCTCATTAGGAAACTACTATACAATATACAGGATGACAGGTGGAAGATTCCGATACGTCCGAGGTAACCGCTGCTTTCCAAGGCAACCATATTGTTCTTATTGGCCTTCGTCGAAATTTTACATGTAGATCTCTGTGCCATTCCCCGCGAGCATGATATTATAGAGAGAGAGACGGTCGATGTTCAATCATATTATGCAAACATACCGATACTGTGCCATACTTGCTATTACAGGCATACAGCAGAATTGGAAGACCACATCTTTATGAATTGACTACGAAAACCTCCATATTAGCGTCACTCCAGACCTCTGACAACTAACGAAGCGCAAGAATATTAGTGTTTCCTGAGGCATCTGTAACACACTAAAGGCCTTTTTCAGGGCTTTTGAGTTTTATAGATTCGGCAGTTGCCGCATATCCCGAATCATGGTGAGCTAGACCCTGTCAGAATGTGTCTTGAAGGATTACGGCACAGCTAACTATGTCCCCTTTTTCTCCGCTAGACCCACGTAGACGTCGATCAACCAAAATATCGTGTAGTCATATATGTATAACAAATCTCATCAGCCCGGCAGAGGATAGATCGTACGTGGTAGTTAGCAAATCCAAGTTATGGTTAGGGTCGGCCGGTGATGTGATATCAGCAACCATTGATACTTTGCAGACGCCATACTCGCACTTTGGCTTGTAAACTTGATGTTGCTTGTCTGCTTTCTGCCCGTCAGAAAATTTCCTAATCTGTAAGGTGCTTAGGAAATCGCGGGCATGATCCATCTCGTCTACACTATTTCCATCTTTCATGCCCTTGTCTTGAAGATGATCATTCTGGGGATAGTTGTGTGGGTATCTGAATTGACGCTATGCGCTTACGGCCTCGGCGGTATCTTATTTTAAGATGGTTTCCTATGTTAGGTAGGCAACAATTTGGCATTGTGTGGAAGAGTATTGCTGGTATGAATATATAATAGGGCTTTGATGGCCATGATGCTTCTGGCTGTTGTTTTGTTGTTTTTGCGTGCTAGGGGCATCGTATCAAAAACCGCCATGTTTGTTTCTACTCAAGCCTTTGCCTTCTTGGCACTTGCCGGTGCTGCTATGGCATTACCGGCTGACGTGCCTATGTCTCTATTTGAGACGGTCAAGTCTGCTCCTAAGCATTGGGCTCTGAACGGTCCGGCTACCAAGGACGAAACTATCGAGCTTCGATTCAATCTCGCCAAGCAGAATACTGCGCAGTTTCAAGAGCTAGCACTGAACGTACGTCATCCTACTTTTCGATTCAAAAGGACTTAGTAATCTTAAGATCCCACCATTCTACGAACACTTAGATGCTTGAGGTTGATGTGATGTTATGAGACAGAACACTAATATAATATAGATTGCTACGCCTGGCCATGCCCAGTACGGCAAGCATTTGACCCTGGAGCAGATCGATGCTATAGTTGCTCCCAAGCCTGAATCCAAAGATCTCCTCTTCCAATGGCTCGGTAACCACAGCTTGGCCGACGGTGCTACCTTGAACAGCCGTGGAAATGTGGTCAAGATCAACACCACAATTAGCCAAGCTGAGGCGCTGTTGCGTGCCAATTACAACTCTTACACTAATAAAAACACCGGTATTAAAGCGTCCCGGGCACTCTCTATTCATGTCCCGCAAGCTCTTGTTGGCCATATCGATGTGATCCAGCCCACAACCTCCTTTGGCCTCAAGCCCCTTACCCCTAAATCTAAAAATGAACCTCGCAGTGCCCTCGCCCAGACAGTCCCTGACGATCTCGCCCAGTTGTACGGATTTGGCGACGCCCCGAAGCTGACCAGCGGGATTATGGGCATTGCTGGTTTCCAAGAAGAATACGCTAACCAGCGTGATCTTTCCATTTTCATGGATTACTATGCGGTTTTGGGTAACTCGGATCATAACTTCACATGCGTCTCCGTTGAAGGTGGCGGGTGTCCGACGGGCGCTAATGATTACACCGTCGAGGGCAACTTGGATACTCAATATGCGGCCGCCATCACCAGCGAGATCCCCAACGTATACTACTCCACTGGAGGTGACACATATTCCATCTTCGAGGATCTCGCTAATTATCTCCTGACTCTCGATGCGGCTTCGCAACCCAATGTTCTCTCGGTGTCGTACGGTGGCGAAGAGACACTGTTTGGCTTGAGCCTTTCTCAAGCTACATGCGACGTGTTTGCTGAACTTGGTTCTGCGGGTATCTCCATTATCTTCGCATCTGGTGACTCTGGAGTCGGTGATAGTTGCAACATTGATGGACAGGACGCTTATGAGCCCTTCTTTCCTGCCAGCTGTCCCTGGGTAACCACGGTCGGCGGTACGTCAGGCGATCCAGAGACTGTCTGGCCCCTTTCTGGAGGTGGATTCTCCAACTTCTTCGATCGTCCCTCATGGCAAAACTCGACAGTCACCTCATGGCTAGCGTCTAACTCGGATGGAAATACACAGTACTACAACGCATCTGGCCGTGCCTATCCTGACGTTGCCTCCGGTGCTGACTATTTCGAGATCATCACTTTGGGCTCAGAAAGAGCCGTAAGTGGGACTTCTTGCGCCGCCCCTGTATTCGCGAGCATAGTGCAGCTCGTTAACTCTCAGCGTATTGACGCGGGAAAACCTGCTCTGGGTTTCCTGAACCCCTGGTTGGTATGTCGTTTTGACTCGAATCTTGTGGCATCCTGGAGACTAACATGCTGGACTTTAGTATAGCCTCCCTACCGGCGCCAACGGTTTGAACGACATCACCAGTGGCAAGAGCAGTGGCTGCGATGATACTGCCATCTCCAAAGCCGGATTCTCCGCCGTTACTGTAAGTTGCACAATAGTTTTTTTTTCAAAATATCAATGTTTTCCTCGCTAACGAAACTTGCTTAAAGGGATGGGACCCCGTCACTGGCTTGGGCAGCGCCAACTACCCCCAGCTCCTCTCAGTTGGTATGTCTGTTTAAAGACACAGGGCCTTGGTAGAGCAATAATGAGTAGATACCGGTTTCGTGAAAAGAACGCAGGATATAATGACATGTCAAATATCAGAAGCTTCCAAATAAATGAGAGCTGCATAGCCTCAAGCGAGACATTACTAATAACACCGAAACATGCGCTTCAGCGCGTGTGACGCGTGTGGGCTCTCGTATAACGGGGGTGTCGAGTTACTTGATCCTAATAACAAGCTTTTCAATAGCGAAAGAAAAACCAAAATAGTACGTTGAAGGACTATGTAATAGCTACTTCAACACAATCACCAATACACCCCATTCCGAGCTTATACCGGTAGGCCACACCAGTTCAATTCGTTTTCTAGGGGACTGAGCAGGTAGTCTAGATTCTAAGCCTCGTTGCAGTAGTCATCATTCCCCCGTCCCCCGTCCTGGCATCCATTGTCACAATGCTGTTTCCAGGTAATAGCTCCTCTCACTCCACCATCACAGAAAAATATATTGTCATCGTTCGAATCAGGAATCCGGTGAGCCTCAAGCAAGGCGGTGTTGATCTGGGCTTCATAGTTCCCTATTCGGAGTTAATTGTCAGTCTTAT